TTTACTTTATTTGTTAAGTACGTCTGATGTTTTAGTTCTTTACATCGCTGTTCAGAGGCCAATTGTTCTTGGTCAGTCATCTATCTACGTCCAACCCCACCCTTACAAATCATCGTTTGTTTGTTTTTTGCTCTTCTGTTCTTGCTGAATAAGATTTTCTACGTTTATCAATGTAAATTTCCCTTCGCTTTTCTTTATTTGATAGATAGGTCAGATGTTTAAGTTTTTACGTCGTTATTCAGAGGCCAATTGTTCTTGGTCAGTCAACTTTCTACGTCCAACCACACCCTTACAAATCTTCGTCTGATTTTTTTCCCTTCTGTTCTTATTGAATACGTTTTTCTACGTTTATCAATGTAAGTCTTCTTTCGCTTTTCTTTATTTCTTAAATATGTCTGATGTTGTAGTTCTTTACGTCGCTGTTCAGAGGCCAACTGTTCTTGGACAGTCAACTTTTTACGTCCAGCCCCACCCCTGCAAATCTTCGTCTTAAAATCGATCATAATGTCAGTTTTCATAATAGTTTTCGTAATCGTAATATATCGAATGAGTATCACTTTACCTTGTTGGAGTTGGTACTTCAAATACTTGATAACTTCTTCTTTCACTTTCCAGATGTTTTAGGACAACTGTTAGTCAATTTTTAAGAATGCGACGTGCTGCTTCTGGAGCAGTGATAATGCGACTGACTTGATATTCTTTGATTTCCTTGTTGTGAAGCGTTATTTGTTTACTCGGCATTGTTGATGACGTCATTATTTGACCACATATTGGTTGAAGACAACGACTAATCACAAATTTTTATATAGTAAGTAGTAAGTATAAGAGAAGAAGATACTTAACTTCCCGATGACACTTTAATACATTACACAGGTTGTTCAAAAAAAATATCATTACAGTATATTTATGATTTGTTCGTTTATTTACTTTGACCTCCCCTAACCATGTTCCTATATCCCTATTAATTCATATAACATGCAGTTCGTCCAACACTGAAATAAATGCTTTTGAGGAACGTGTTCACTACGTTGAACGAGGGTTCACTGTTCTGTGATTTATTTTTGTTTTGCTTTTGTGGCAATGAATAAGACTTAAAATGTCTGCTGGGGTAGCACAGATGAAGAGATTCCAAACCATTGCATTTTACAGTAATAAAACGTATTCACACATACAATTACGTGTAATTAATTAAATTTTAAGCATACACTCACCTTTCTTCTCTGTGATTTGGAGCTCATCTGTAGATGTGGGTGCAGGCAAAATAATTGGATAAAAAGAAAATACAAATCCATGTTAGTTGGTTTAGTAATGGCAGATAAAATAAAGTGGGACACAATCAGAACTATTAATCATTTTACGTTTTCTGGTTTAGTTAACTGGTTAATCAGTAAATAATAGCTTAAATCAATATCAGCATCATACATTAATGTCTTCACTCCAGTTACAAGCATTAAAACAGTTATTTCTAGATGTCTCTGGCATCTTCTGAAATTTGGTTTACATTCACATGCAACTTCGGAATTTAGTTTTAACTACTTTTCAATTCAAAAATATAATTAACACTGTGATAATGACATGAACACTGTTAATCCAAAAGCCCACTGTTGCTTATTATACTGAACCAGTTCAATTCACTTAAACTCTTACACTTAGTTTTAAAATTACTGCGTCATCTCTCGCTCCATAGTTCACATCTTCCACCACCAAAATTATATACGTATGTCTCCCACTTCCCCCATTAAATCTCGAAAATTTCTGAATTATACCTGGTCAGATGTATAGATCCAAAAACAATGTTTGTTAAATTGTTACCTGGCATGAAACGAGTTCACAATGCAGATGAGACATAATCATAATCATCATTGCACCACGTAGTTTACTGACGTTTTTAGAGGTGCTTGCCGCATGAATACTACTTTACTAAATCGCTCAACAGACATTTGGTGAATAACTGCAGAATAAGACATTACATCAGGCAAAAAACTGCAAAAGGGAATTCTTGAATTTCACCTTCCACTTCTACACAGCTGCACTGTACACAATCTCTCTTGATCAGATTACATCGCCTGCTGAGAACAATAGTGACGTAACTCAGAAATCACCGATTTTGAGTTATGTCCATAAATAGACTTGCAACATTCACCTTGAAATCATGCATAAATGTATGTCCGCCCTATGCCGCTAGGTAACGCCACTATTGTCGGGAAGGTTTCGCTCCATCTTTTCGTGCACGAGAGACGTAAGTCAAGAGGCAGAAAACTTACAAATTACATTAATTCAAAGCATATCGTCAATAAAGTAAAAGGAATTACTCGAATAAGTTCTGTGGCGGACGAGGAATGAAAGATTGAAGTTGCGCCAAAAGTTCGAAGGCATTTTTCTCGAAACTGTGATTTCTGAGTTACGTCACTATTGTTCTCAGCAGGCGATATTATTCAGTTAATTATTAAAGTCCGTGTTATGGAAATCAAACATAAAGAGATGTAGCATTCTCGTGGTGGTGAAATGTTGTTCTTCGCCTGAGTTATAATGCCATATGGATATATCGATAGATACCAACATTTCAGAGAAACATAATGCACCCATCTTCAGAGTAGATGAAAAAATTTATATTATCGTAAAATGAGGAAATTAAAAAAATAACAGAGTGGTTGGAACTGGATGTAACACATCAGCATCCAGAATATGCTATTGATGTTAATGCATTGGGCGAGAATATAAATACCATAAATAAAAACACGTCATAAAATCATAACAGACATGTTGATAAATTTCCTTTGAAAATATGACAAGTACAGACGTCTGGAAATGATGGCAATAAAACAAAATTATGTAGGATTTTGCATGATGGAGGCAGCATGGACCTCTGAAACGTCAGTAAATTTCTACCAGACTACACGGTGCAACAACCCAGAAGACAGCCATCGTCAAAACAAAATTACATTTGCAACGAAAATTAAATACAGAAAACTGTAATTTGATCAGCTGTTTTGTATGGCTGTGAAATGCGGTCTCCCACACAAAATTAAGAACAAAGACTGAGGGTGTTTGATAACAATTAGCTTCGGAGCTTAGGAGAATGGATGAAACAACAAGAGTCTTAACAGGAGAATGGATGAAAGCCCAGTAAAGAGCTCCATAATTTTTATTCTTTTCCGAATATTACCATGATAATCAAACTCCAGAAAATTAGATGGGTAGGGTATGCAGCATGTACAAGGGAGATGAGAACTGAGTAGAAAATTTTGGTTGAAAAGCCTGAATGAAAAAGACTGCTCAGAAAACATTTGCATAAATTCGAAAATAATATTAAAATTGATCTTAAGTGAGCAGGGTTGGAGGTTTTGAAGTGGGCTGATATAACTCAGAAGAGAAAACAGTAGAAATATCTTGTGAATAAGATAATGAACCCATAAGATTCACTAGAAACGAGGAATATGTGGACTAGATGAGCGACTATCAGCTCCAGGGAGTAGGTTTATTTGGATACAAAATCCTTACATTCGGTGTTACGTCTGCATTTCTGTCTCTCCTGGTTACTACATGCATGATGATGATATTTATAGATTAAAAAGTGGTCTACGTCTACCACAGTTTTTATGTAGCAAAAAACTCTCTCTCTCTCTGCACACAGCTGTTTCGTTTGTTTGTGTTAATCTTTTGATATACAGCAGACCCTCGACATTCGCGAGAGTTACGTTTTTGAACCCCCCACCCCCGAACAGTAAAACCGCGGTGGGCGAATTCCAGACCTAATGGGGAAAAAAAAACAGACGAAGAACCAAACGCACACGGCACATGACACCTTATACGTTCCTGAACGAAAGTTTTTAGAATGATGGAACACGGGCAATAATCGATTCCAAGAATTACTAAAAGTACAGTTAACGTACACACAACATCGCACGACATCTAGGTAGCTACTGAGAAAGGCGGGCAGATGCGGACTGCTGTGTTTTTTTGTTTTTGTTCTTTTACTTCGTGCGCCTGCGCAGGAGCGACCATGAAAGCGCGACCGACCAGCGCTAGTGGTCTGCACAGACCTAAGCTAGAACCGCAGTGTTCATGCCTGATGCAACCGCTGGAATCAAACGTTACGTCGAACATTTCGGCTCTGGAAACAAATCCCACATACTTGATTTTTTGATAGAGATTTTCCTAGTTGTTCCCTCCCAGAATTATAGTTCGAGATAACACCTTACAAATATGTTACCCAAACGCTAAAATAACGTCAGATGTCCTGCCAGCGTCATTGAAAAATTCAACCAAGAATTACTGACACTTATAGTTTAAAAGAAACACGTATTAATGATACGATAATCAGGGCAGATTTTAAAAAGACCGGGCTTCATACGACCCGGAATAAAAGTTGGACTGAGGCGGGGTACTGGTAACTGAGTTAAAGATAAATTTTTGTGTCGGTCTGGGTCGGGTCAAATGGTCCTCGGTCCATGTCGAGTGAAATTCTAAAATTTTGGCCCCTGCAGACATTTAACCTACGTAACGATGCACAAATGTTACCAAAACATTTTTTTCTGCAAATAAGCAAATCCACGATGCGTAAGCCCGCGAACCAGAACGGTATATTCTATTGTGAAAAAAAAACTGGCTTAGAGGGACGATACGCATTTTGATACACATAGAGATGCTTATGAATATTGCAAAAGTTTGTCAAGTGCTTTCAGATCTAATCAAGACGCTTGTAAAAACGATCATCTAATCGCAAAATAATTCAAAACGTAAATAAATTTTATACTTGCAATGAATTTTCGATTCATAAAGGAAAAGGCGAAACAAAGCAGATACAAATTCAGGAGTCAATATAAAGCTTCTTTATACCAAATCTCGCCTCTCCAAAATAATTAGTAGATTAGTTTAAAGGGAATGATAAATTTACAGCTAGTGAATAGCTGGTAGTAAAAAAAATTAAAAACGTACTTGAAAATATCGAGTTATCAACGTAATTAAGGCACATAATTACGTCGTGGCGTCATCCATCCCAATGTCCACGGTTATATTCCAGAAAATTTAAATTTCGAAAATTTGTGGAGCCTACGTTCTTCTTTCAACAGACTGGTAAGTTAGAAACGTCGTACAAACCTAGAAATTCAGAGATATCAGTTTCACTTTTCATTTTGGAGACATCTGTTACTGTTCTGCCTTCCATTCTACCCTCTGGGTGCATAAAGCGATCAATACGTCACGCCACGGTGGTCAATCAGGTGGCGTGTGTGTGCGCGTGCCCATAATATTGTCATAAATATAATAATTTTAATACAGCTTAATTTACAAAACCACAAAACGAAAAATTTATATTTTCTAGTTATTTATGTATCACAATAATGACCACATAAAATCAGGTGTTAAAATTTAAATAAACCATTGAAGATGTTCAAATAATCACTACGTCTTGTCACCTAACCTCAACATTTACATCGTAACAACATTTCGTGATGCATAGATTAAATTAAACCTTCTCTAATTTCTGTTCGACGTATTAACAAACACACTACTGACAAAAAAGACTATTAAACTTCCCGAAGCAACTTAAAATGCTCTGACGTCACCTCATTATCACATCCAGACTGATCATCGGCCAGGTCTCGTAAGTACATGCTTCAGTACGCAAAGGCAAAGTTATATTTCTTGCGTTGAGTCATAACACTCACCTCCAAATCCATGCTCCGCGCCAGACCGCCGCCTTGCTGGTGATGGTGATGATCCCCCGACAGTGTGTGCCGACGGGGCTCGTCCCGACGCCCAGACCGCCCTCCCCCGCCTCCACCACGCCTCACCTCTTCATCACGGCCCACGTTGGATACTGCAAGAAGACAAAGTTAAACAGTTAGCAATCAGCAACGCCTCACGGCACATCCGCGGGTTATAATCAACTTTGCCTTTGTTCTCGTTTGTTTTATGATTCATATTCGCCCAATACTGACAAATATTATTAGCAGGTGCGTTATACATCATGCAAATATGACATTACAGATTACAATAACACATCACCTATCACGAACAGACCAAGACATTCAACAAGTTGACATACGCCTATTATTGATATCTAATTTACTACAAGATCAGAAACTTGTGTTCTTAGGAGTACACAAATATTTCAAACGTGTCGCACCGAAACACAACTCGTTAAGGTCTATTTATATAGGAACGTAAAGAAAACGACACGAGCCCTTGCCGATTTTTCAGAAAATATTATTCAACGTTTTTCAATGGAACTGTTTAGGGAAAATATCGTTGGAGACGTAAGTTGAGCGAGACTCGTTCGTGGAACGGACGAGCTCGGAGTCAATATAGAGTCTATTTATATAGGAACGTAAAGATAACGACAGGAGGCCTTGCCGATTTTTCAGAAAATATTGTTCAACGTTTTTCAATGGAACTGTTTAGG